GCACAGGCTGTTTTTGCCTTATACAGATTACAGGATCCATCAGATGAACAATGTCCTGTAATAGAAATGTATCTTTTTCATGTATCTAGAGATCCAAGTAGTAAAGTTCGTAAAGCGATTCTTGCTACTATGGGCAAAAATCAGAAAACCTTACAAGCCGCATTTATGAGAACACGAGATATTGATGATTCTGTTCGTAAGAAAGCATATGAATTCATCAGTAAAGTCACAGTGCGTTCCTTGACTATTAAACAAAGAGAACGTTTATTAAAGGACGGTCTCAAAGATAGATCCGAGAATGTTAGAACATGTGTAAACAATGTTTTATTACCAGCATGGTTAAGATGTTTTAAGGGAGAGTATATGAGTTTTATTCATGCATTAGATGCAGGAGTAGGAACAGAGTCAGGAACTTTAGCTTTGCAGGTATTATTTCGGTAAGTATTTCTCCTAAAAAAATAGCAAATAAAGTAATGTAGCTATATCTGATAAATTAATATGTGCTACTGCTATATATATAATTTATATATATATTTATTTATATATATATATATTTATAAAAGTATAAATATTGTTTCTATACAGAAATGCTGATTTAAATACTTTATTAGAGCAAGTGCCAATAGATAAGAATACAAAATTGATTCCTTTGACGAGCTTAACAAATGAAAATGTTTTATATTGGAAATGTATAATACAGCACCTTCATCATCTTTCATCTACAGAAGAATTAGAATTAATGATTACAGAATTATCAGAGTTTTGTAAATATATACGCAGTTTTGTTGCTTTTATATCTTCTCAGTCACACGAGATATGGGAAACAGAGAGTCACAAGTTTATTCTCTTACAACTTTTCGAAATATCTACAATGTATGATCTCTCAGACGAGGTAGGCAGGAAGAATTTAAACGAAGTGATAATAGACACTTTAATGAGTGATTATTGCTCCACTAAAATAATTGAGTGTCTAGTCAGTCATTTAACAAAAGTGGTACCAGATCCCAGCAATTTGTTGAATGCTGTTGCTAATATTATTAGTGAGATTAGGCTACCTTTGAAAGAAAATGTAGTCTCTCAGCAAATTACTGCAGATCAACAACATGAGAACAATATGCAAGTAAGTATTAAAATCTGATGTTGTTAAAAAAATGATATATCTGTAAAAATGTTTTTATTTTCCTAACAATTTGATTGTAGGAAACTAAATTAAAAGTTGAAGTAATGGAACTCGAAGAGGAATTGTATCAAGCGATCAAGGAACAAAATTTTCTACAAGCTGATAGTCTTAAAGAAAAGATTAACACTTTGAAAGAGGAAATAAATCGTTTATGTAATACACCCGAAACTGTAACAACTGAAGAGAATTTGCGGGAGAAAAATGATACTGTAACTATGGTCAAATGCCTTGATATTTTATACGTTGCAATGCAATCTATTCGGGTATTAACACCTACACTTAAAAGTTTGATGTGTCTTGTTTTAAACAGTCTTGACGTAAGTACGCATAAATTTAACATGTGCGCAAGCGCATGTGTGAAAATGTGCATTGTATTTTATTGTCTCAACTTAATCTAATTTATCATTTTAGCATCCTCACGATAGTGTACAGGTATTAGCGTTAAAGACGTTATGTGTTTATTGTATCTTGGACAAAGAATTAGCTAAGAAACTCATTAAAATATTTTTTTATCAATTTTCTCTTGAACAAGAAAATCAAGATATGTGGGTAGTCTCTTTGAAAGCAATATTCGATCTCTTACTTGTGTATGGTTTGGAATATTTTGATATAGTGCCATCTCTAGAAAACAATTCAGTACACAATAAATCTGAAAAGATTCGCTCATTGTATACGCATGAGGATAGTATACATGAGGACATTTCTATAAATAAGCGGACTGAAATAGAGGAAGGTCCTTGCAATTTCATTAAAATCTTAAAAGGATTGCTAATTAGCGCGGTAAGTAACAATATCTTTGAGTTTTGCTAAAATTGAATAAAATATTCACATAGTAATTATATTTGAAAATTTATAGAATCAAGATTTACGCACTATTGCAGCGGAAGGATTCTGTAAATTATTACTGAATCAACGAATCAATAGCAGTAGTCTATTATTGCACCTGATAATTATGTGCTTCAATCCAGTCAACGTTGATGACATTTATCTTTGTCAGTGCTTAAGCGCTTTTTTTGACTGTTTTATAGGATGCGTACCTGATGCACAAGAAATGCTCGAAAGCGCATACCTTCCAACATTGCAGGTTCTTTGTAACGCACCGGACTTTAGCCCTCTACAGGAGATTAATGCGTATCACGTATCTAGATTTATACTGGGCTTAACGAGACGTGGTTGCCAGAAGAGTAGCGGACAAACGTTTTATACTCATAACAACCTTGCCTTTGCTATATTGGCTGAGATTTTAAATCCAGAAAGTAAAATAGATCAAGAAATTCTTATTAGATCTTTGACAGATTTATGCATTCAACTTCAGGATGATAATCTATCGAAACAAAATCTGCAAAAGGCTATCAAAAATGTTACGAAAATGGTATGTTATTTATCTTCATATTTCTGTATCAAATCTTTCGTGTTCATTAATCAAATTAATTACAAAATTATACTATAATTTAAATGTGTTCTGTAATAATATACACATGTATAATTTAAATGTGTTCTGTAATAATATACACATGTATCAACTGTAATTTAATGTCTAGCAGGTGGTGAATTATGATAAACGGTTACTTAAATATATTCAGCAATTTAAACAAAAATTAGAGATGCCTTCCGAAGATGACAGTAGTGACACTGAATTGTAAATAATGCATGCGTATATGTGCTTAAATAAAGGAAATCCTGATACTTGAGGATATCAAAATTAAAAATAAATTATAACATTGTCTTAATAATTAAAATATTTAAATAAGCGTTAATAATTCTTTAAAAAGAATAATTGTAATTTTTTCTTCGTTTAAATATATTGGAGGTATTGGAAGATGAAGATTTCTTTTATTCTGTATTTTGCCTAAGGTACTAAAATTAAGAAATACTTTATAAACGTATGTCGAATCGTTACAAAACAAAAGGTAAAGGTTTATACTTGCGATCGAAAATTTCGTACGTCTGTCCCAGCGTCCGGACAAAATTTTTTATATTTTAATAGTTATGCACCTCCCAAAAATGGATTTTGGTGGCTCGGAATAAGAGACTTGAAGTGTCTCTCAGTTTTTTTAAACATGGCCGGAGACACTACCGCGTCTCCTGATCAAAATATAATATTATACGGTATGTCGATCGATTAGATTTGGGTGCTTTCCATTATAAGTGATCCAATCCAAGAATTACACCAAAAAGAAAGTTAAAATTATGTATTTCGATGTCAAAATAATAATTTTTGGCTGTGACTTGTCACCAAATAAAAAGAACTCAGAGAAATGTTTGGTTGCATAATATATCTACGTAATACTTCTTTTAACCTTCAAGCCTAATCTACAGTGTGCTCTTTGTTTGCTGTTTATATGACTTTTTACTTCTTGCCTTTTTGCTTCTTACCTAGTTTTTTCGTTTTCTGTCGTCTGAAATAAAAGTTGACGAACTTCGGAAGAGACAAGAAACATGTAAAAAGAAATGCGATTGTCGATAAAACGGTCGTAAAGAAACGAGGTCGTGGTAAAAAGCAAGAAACAGCAAGCAAAGAACACATTCCAGATTAGGTTTTAGGACATTAGGACAGGAAAATCACTATATAGTGAAATATTATATCTAGAATATTTTATTTTGAAGCAAAGAATATAATCAAATAATAAATTATAACAAATCTTACAAAAAAAAACAATTAGATTTTAACTCATAGTACACATAATAATTTTCTGAACTTTTACTACACACGATGAATTGATCGTAAACCAAGTTAATTATCATCATTTTAGTAAATATATAAAAATTATTAAGTAATTTTATTAAGTAATTATTAAGTAATTTTTATATATACACTTTAATATCGATAGAAAATATTATTATAATACGATTGTGTTTAAAAAATTGTATATAAATGTTATAACTAATTACTTTATATTCTTAGTTTACCATTAAATGAAACAAATAAAATTTTATCAAAATAAGAGCATAAGATCTGTTTCATTAATGATGTTATATCAAATTAACAAATAAATTTTCAATTAAGATAATGCTGTTGATACAATTATAACTTAAATGTAATTACACTAAAAAAAAATAATCTTTTTAGTGTAATTACATTTAAATTATAATTGATTGCGTTCTTTATTAGAGAGTTTGATGTGTATTTTCGTAAAAGTTCCTGGTCCTCCAGGAAATTTCCCGCGGGAAGGTCTCGTTTACGATATCGACAGCGTTAAACCGATGATGCGCCGTCGCACTTTGCTCGGTGCGGCTTTGTTTGCGCCCGGCGAATCGTTTTACGATTTGTCTTTGTCAGCTTGGCCGTATTGTTACCGCCCTACCAGCAGGTCGAGGCTCGTAAAAGGGTTACAAGCATATATTGTTCACAGAGATGCTAAAATGTTCATTTCATCTCGTGAGAGAGTCGTCGAAAGAAAGCATTGGCGGGGCACAAAGGTGCTCGTACTTGACGAATGATAATACATCAAGGCTGACACACGTCGATGTCTTTTACGAAGAACTGGACACATAACACCGTCTTTCCTTAATTCTAAAGTCCATGTCACACCCTATACGCATTGGAAACTGAGGATTGCAAACTGAAGATTAGAATTCAACTAATTAGAACAAAACATGGATTAAAATTATGATTGATTAAATTCCATTCTCTAATGACTTTCATTAGCAATCCTCGGTCTCCAATACGTAGTGTGAGACAGGCTTAAGAGATCCTATCGCGATAAAGTCAAGTTAATTAAAGATTTATTATATTTGTGGGAGATGCGCTCTGTTTAATTTAATTTTATTGTCAAAGAGGTTCAGTAGAGTATTACTTGGAAGGAAATGAATTACTTACCCCACTGGCTTTCCGTAACAGCACGTTCTGATTTCCTCTTTGACTGGGCGTTCGAGAATTCAATCTTTCGTCTTTAACTGAAATGAGAAAGCGACAGCTGCGGTTATTACAAATCTTTGTATATATTTTCAATCGGACGGGCATCCCCTGTCATAATTACTTTCTAATAATTTCAGGCAAAGCAATTTCTACCTAATAATAATTCCTATTAGTCGTAAATCAACATCGAAAATTTACAACGCAGCAATGCATTCTATAATTAAAAAACTTTAATTTAGCGAAAGCACTCTGTAAATAGGTCGCGGTATAAAATATGCAAGAGGATGCCAATCTTTTTTGTTGACGTTGCAAATGTTATTTTCATCGCATTGAATGAATTCGCTCTATATTTAAACGCCCGCAAGGCACATGGAACGCTGCATTGAACTGTAGCGGGGTTTGCGAATCGAACGGCTTTGTGTTATCGACACGCATAACATTTCTGTAATGCGTGCGAGAAAGTCGCGGGAACCATTTAAATCGTACGTGCCCGAGGCGGCCTAATTTTGCATTTTGAGAGCTTTTCCATGACGATAATCTGCAACTCACGGTCACAGAACTTTGCCTTTTCTGCTCACAAAGGGATCAAAGGATCAAACGCATTACAAGAGTCGCTGTGCGCGGCATTAACTCTTATCCGGGAATAAATGAATCACACTCATCCATTGTTCGTATTAAAATTTCATCATCGCCTTATAAAAATAAAAATATTAACGAAAGAGCATGTGCAATTATTTAAGAATAGACAATCTATGGAACTCATTTCTGAAGCTCATTTCTGTTTATACAGGAGTTCTAAATTTCAAGTTATTTTATCATATACGAGCAGAATCATCATTTTCTCGTACAATTTGCGTGTTTATTTACAAACAAGTAGATTATCATAAATGAAATCAAATACGCTTAAGCTGGAAATTTAGTTACGTTGTATAGAAAGCAATTTTAGAATATAACTTTCGCGCACGCATTTACAGTATACTATAGATACAGCGTTTTAATTGCGGTCTGTTACATGTAACGTTCGCAATCGCCTTGTTACGGATTTAGTTAGTTTCGAATTTTAATCACCCCCGGAGTTGTGCATCATCCGTATATTACTTCTAGGACGCTCGTCGTACCAACATCTGGACCCCGACGATGACCTGTTTGTTCCGGTTGCAGTTTCTCGGACATACAAAACTTTCTGTGTAGTTAGTTCCGGTTTAATTTTACCGCTGCGCAACAGCTACTCATTCGGTCCGGGCGATTAAACGAAAAAAATGCGAGAAAATTGTTATCTGTTGTCGCATGTATTATTCTGACGTGATTCTGTTCATTCCTACGCAGACAAAAGTCTTTCTCGTAGAATTTTATTTCCTGTCTACGGAGGAAAGTGATAATTCTCATATTTCTGACTTAGGATCACTACGTCTCGGTAATTCTTTCCGGAGTTAATACAAATAATGTCATATTTTGTTACAACAGCGTTATTACGTTGTTACAACTTTCTCTCTTTTTGCGATATTAATCATGATTTATACCTACATAAAGGTTGCATCGCGCTGTGTGCATCGTATGTGTGTGTAAAATTGATATCTATGATATATACATATATATACTCACATCTATAATTCGACGATTCTATATACCATAACTCGTATTTAGATATTCAGAATTTTATATGCTTGATAAAATATAAAAAATATTTAAAAAATCAAAGAATACACAAATATATATTAACATATACACATATAAAATACATGACATATAAATCTGTCCTGAGATCTCTAAGACAAATTATAGATATTCTCTAAAATGCGGATTATATCCTCCCTTGAAATTTTTTAACCACGTTCAGAGAATGATAGCAATAAATAATACAGCATCGCGTGCTTGCCGTGACAATTTCATGAAACACAGCTGTTACATTCGTGCGTATCTTTTCTTTCCTCCGGGGAAACGTATCTCCTTTTCTCGTTCTGGCTCATTAATTTAGCGCCACGTGACAACGCGTAGCTCGCTTTTTCGCTTTTGAATAATGCCCCGTGTACTCTTCTTCATCGCCGATCATCCTAGAGTACGATTAGAAAAGAAACCTGGCGACTTTCAGCAGTAAAGAATATTATTGGCGATCTGTCGATCGCGGGTGAGTGTATTCTGATTCTGTTCTGCCCGAGTCCGACGGCGAGGAAATTGAATATTTTTCCGACACGGTCGTTGCGTACCATCGCGTCGTCGTATTGGAATTACGCTCGCTTGCATTTATATGCGTATATATTTCGATCCAAAACCGATTCCCGTCGCGCGCAAATATTTAATACAGAATATTTGTATCAGACTCATAAAATTGCGCTGTTATTTCCAAAAGCTACAATATTCTTAAAGAAAGAAGAAATCACCATTATATATCTACTCGTTTCACAGAAAGAAGATTGCAAATTCTTCGGACATACAGTACTTCTTAAAGGAAGAAAAAAATCACTATTATATATCTACTCGTTTCATAGAAAGAAGATTGTAAATTCTTTAGATATACAGTACTTTGAAAAAAATGAAAAGGTCTTACTTAATGAATTCATTTTCTAAAATCAATACTTATTATCAAAATTTGAATAGTTCCGTGTTATCTCTACAGCAAATGTTCTACGTGATTTCCTTCCATTTCAAAGACTTGTATATGGCAAAGGTCTATATATCGATTAAATATGAAGCACTTGCTCATATAGCAAACATGACGCATTGTTTAATAAACAGAAGAGAAGTTTCTGAGATTGTTCGCCTCCGTATTTGACGTTAAAGTGTTAATAGATATTTCGCTACATTTCTCGTAGCGTTTATTTAAAAAGTATGCTTCTAAGTAAAGAAACTAATCTATGTTGATAAATTTATACAATACATTTATAGCAAACTGTAATAAATCGTATCTCCATTATTGTTTGAACCATTGAATGAAAATCACAATAAATTAAATTTAGATTTCTCAATAAATTTAATAAATAAATTTAGAAAATATATTAATTTTTTTAATAAGTTTCAAAAGAATATTTGAATCTAATTTCAAAATTCAAATTCAACTTCTCATTGCGAGAAGGATCTGAAAAGTATAATATTTCAAACAGAAAAAATTAAACTTGAATTTCGAAAATTGAATTCAATTCTTATTTCGAATTGTATCATATTTGAAATTGTACTATTTTACCCTATAAAATACAATATATAATAATAAGATAATATGATTGAAGTTCTATATACACGTTGTATGCCTATAGAACTTTTTACATTTCTGAAATTGTGTTAATTTCAACGTTAAATCTTTCAAATGCTTGTGGAAGATATAAACATCGGCTGTTTTAAATTCCCAGCGCAGCATACAATCATATAGCAAATGCGATGTTATTTCAGAGGCATTGTATGTACACACGTTACTCGTATCCATTTCATGCGGAGGCTTTCATCGGGTGCACGAATCGCTCTCGAAATCACTCGGCGGAATCTGTGACCTCCCCGCGTTGTATGCGTACCCCTCTCTCTCAGAGTAAATTCACCGGGGAAATCACGATGGAAACGAAATAGCGGCGTTAAGTAACTGAGAAAATTTTCCGTAAGAGCGTCGAGTTACGTTTAGCCTTTCTATTGCCCGTCCCACTTTTCTTGCCTTTTTTCGCCCTGATAGGATTATACAGACATCGTCCGCAAGCAGCACATTTTGCTGCCCGTCTTTCTTTTCATTCCTTCTCTGTGTGAAAATTCTCTTTTGCTCGAAAAATACGACGAAATTTATCGCCTCAATAAATTATTGAATTAAGATGCATTGTTTGCATACACACACAATTGTGTTGCACTTCAAATATCCTACAGACACAGAAAAATGAGGGTAGAGGCATGAAGCCGGTATGAAACGACCAGCTGTGGATTCACGATTTACTTATATGTATATTCGAATGGATAAAAATGTGTTTAAACTCCATGTAAAGCGCGAGTGCATTTTTTGCTCTATCTTTTCCCTTTATATTTTCTCTTTTACGAAATAACTGCTATCTAACGTGCAATAGTATACAAAATGGTTAAAAGATAAGTTAACACTATTGGGAATTAGAACTAAACATTGTTAACAAAGATGGTAATTAAATTGTAATTAAAAGAAATAATTATAATAGCAAATGTATTTTGTACAAGTCAAAAGTAATTCAATTGTCTGCGATGCTGTTAAATGTCAAGTTATACCCAATTTAGGTTAACTATTTAGTCATTTTTTAGATTGCCATTCTTACTCAATATACCATTAATTTTATTAAAACAATAAAGTTAATAATTTAATAAGTTGGATTATCGTACATATCGTAAAAGATTTTTACGTTATGGACGATGGTTCAACAAAACAGAGCAAGTTAAAAGGTTTTAATTACAAATTAATAAGATTGTTGGGCAAACTGCGCTTATTAAAATGTTCATAGTTGTTAAGCAGTTAATCGTAAAGTTTGATAAACGTTTGACAGTTTTAAATAAATAAGCAGTTTGATAAGTCAATGATTTAAGAAAAAAAGACCATGTTGGAAAATAAGTCAAATTTTGGAAAAAAAGTTAAAAAAAGACACTGACTTATTAAACTGATAGATAAACCCTCTCGATTAATACTGATCTTATAGTTATTATGTACCGTATTTAATTATGTACAGATAAATTTTTGAACTATCGAAGAGTTATAATAAAGGTCGAAATATTTGTTCATTAACAAGATTGTTTTAATAATATGAACACCTAACTTTCGCTCATAACTCCTTTTTTTGTAGCAATTTAAATAATTGTGATTTTAATTGAGCCTTATATTAATTTTATTTTAAATGCTTTGACTCAAGAAAATATATAGGGTTATATTTGATTTAATTAAATTAATTATTTACTAAGTATACTTATGTTAATGTAGACATTGTTTACTTTGAAACTAACCACAGAAATAGATTAATTTACATTTTAACATACACGGAAATTAAAAATAAATATTATTTTTAATTTAAGAGATTGTGGGTTATCATTGCTCCTTTGATATATAACAGTGTGAAGCAATTTTCGCTCGGACGCGCAATTAAAAATTTATTTGTAGTTATTAGAATTATCTGTCATCAAAAATTAAATTGCAAAATTATGCATTTTTTATTAGAAGAAAGCATATTCCTTAAAACACTTAAAAATACACGCAGAGAAAAAGAATTTTATCGGTCAGTCTGCTTCTTCCAAGCTTTCATTATCCGTCTGACCAGACTGCAAAGAAGGTAAATTTAATTACTCGTCCGTTCTTCATTATCTATTAACCATTCTTTAAAACCTTCGCTTGTCGTCACCAGATATCTTCGTTGCCCCAAGTCGCCGGAAGATAATTAAATTAATCAAGAGAAACAAGGGGATGGTTTGTGCATGATCCATGATGATTTAACAAAGACGTTGAATTATTTCGCGCGTTTAATCGATAAACTTTGCGCTTAAGACGATTACATATAGCTTAATTAAGTATAAACTTAACCACCTAATATAAGCTATATTTTCCAACATCTTAAAAATGTACGAGGAAATTTACAGAGTTTTTTAACTCGATACAGAGAATACCTTAGAAAGCATTCCTCGAAAATTCTAAAAAGAATTAATTTAAATAAAAACGAAATTAAAAAAAGTCCAATAGGATTTAAAAAAAAGCTAAGTACTTTCTCTCAAAATATCATCGGAAGAATGTTCACAAAACGGATTCTAGATTTAACTTTCTTAAAGAATGTCTGCAAGAAAGTTAAATCTAGAATCCGTTTAGTGATATAAATATCAGACTCTATTATTTTGACTTCGATAATTTACGACAGTTGCCTGTATTCTCTTTATCAAAAACCTAGACTTTCTTCAATGCGTATGATCCATTTGCGATTTATGTCACTCAACTTCGGACTGTGTCTATGCGGTTGTAGATTAATCAAACCTCGGGAATTCGCCAGACCATCTCATTCGGTGTAGAATAATTGATTGTGCTCAATATTCGCTAGCCGCAAATGAGCCGGAGCGTTCCAATGCACTATTAATAATTAATTAATTATGGTAGTCGAAACCAAGCATTGAGTAGTGCGTTTAAAGGAACGTGTGAAAATTAATGTCAAACAGTCTGTACGATAATTAATTTATTTAGTACTATGACATACAAGGCTCAATTACAGTCTATCCTTCTCTATCGCAAAACGCGTTTCTGTTTTAGTTATTATTTTAAAAACGTCTATATATTACGCGTATGATTGCTACGAAGCTTTACACAAAAAGAAATTTTTACTGAAGTATCTAAAAATTTAAACATGTAGTGAGAAGGCTCGTTAAGTTCTTCTTTCTTTTTTTTTCAAACTAATAATAAAGAGAGAAAAGGGTATACGAGCAAACAAATTCGTTAAAACATTTAATTTTATTCTAATATATTGCGAAGAATATTACGTTATCTAAAAATTTAGTTAGTTTATAACTTAAAATGAATTAATTGATAATATTGTTTTGACCACCAAAATAATTATTACTTTTCGCAGCATTATTTCAACGTTCTACATTATTTTGATGTAATTCAATAAAATTCAAATCTATAATAGTTAAAATTTTTTGACTATGTAGACGCTGTGATTATAAAATCGTTCTTTTATATACGTTAGTGTGAAATAAGTAAGAATATATTTCAATATTTATCATTGATTAAGTCTAATGGGGTAGAATAAAATACGACGCGACAGCAAGGAAGCAAAAATCGAAAAATCAATCGAGCACGCATACGCTGTCCATTATTGTATAAGTAAATCCTTGAACAGAATTTACTTAAATCCGAATGTTATGAAATATGCAATCTCTCTCACCGATTACTCGTAGGTGTTTTCCGCCGAGGGTGGAAGCGTCCGTCGTCAGCAGGGATAACGGCGTCGAGGAACTGTCCAGAACTTCGACGCGCGATAAATCGACGCCGCGACGCTCACAAGCTGGACTCAGCACATCCCTGTAACACATAATACAGTGAGAGTTAAATCATTTCCGTATTTTTCGACGGTGGAAATACTTGACAATATTTTCGTAATAAAGTACAAGTTGTAATCTGCCATCCAACTTCCATGACATTATAAAATGGTAATCGATCTACGTATCACAAACGCGATATAAGAACTAATACAGCTTGCGTTATATCAGTTAATTAAAAGTAGAAAATATTGCACAAACACGTTTTGAAAAATTTCCTGTCTGTTTTAAACTGCTATCACGATCATCGTGAAGCTCTCGTCGAGAAATACAAATTTTAATTCTCGTCTACGAATTTTACTTCCCACTACAATCTGTTCATCCGCGTAATCCCCTCAACTTTTGAGAATAAAAGTATATAAGTAATTCAATTTTAGGTACTTTTCAGTCGGACTCTACGGCGATTAAAGAAATCTCTTAAAAAGACCTCGCGCAAAATCCGTAAAGGAATATCTCGTACTTTAAAGAGTATTTTAACTTCAAGCGAAACGAGATGCAATAAATATAAAATAAATTAATAAAATAAATTTATAATTTTTCCAGAAATAAATTCGATTGCAAAATATCGTACATTTTTTTTGTAAAAAGGAATGATATATTCGTCCATATATCATACAGAATTTGTGAATTTACATGAAAAAAATTTCAAGGAGAATATGTAATTAATTATACGTGCGCGATATAAGATTTAAAAAATGTTTAGAGAAAGATTAAAATATTATAAACTTTAAAAATATTTCATCAGATGGTTTGAAGTTGTTTAATCAGATTGTTATACATTTATTTTATATTTTTATATTAAATCATTTCTTTTAACATTATAAAAAAAATTATAAATAATCTTTCCTTTTTTAGCATGCAAAGCTAATGTTATACTTCTTCTTCAAGTAAACAATTATTGTTCGTATCTTATTGTTGTAGTTATTGTTTTCAAAGTTTAATTATGTTCTTGCAAGCGTCTTAGATTGATTTTAACTCATTCCATTACTTCTGAAGACTACAAATGTATTTTTATCCGCAGAAATAACATCCGTCATTCCTTGTCTTTAAAAACATCTTCTTTAAACTCTGTTCTTTTTGAACTCACTTTTATTTGTTGCATTAACAAAGGACTTCCTTCTTTTAATATCATGCATTTAGTTTCCAGATGCGCTTCTCAATTCCTTGAATAATCCCAGTTTTAGAAATAACTCTATTGTTAATTTCAAAGCACTAAGTCGATGGTTACTTTTAATTTTTCGTATCTATTCCGATAGTCAATAATCCTCGGTTTGATCCGCGTTTATTGCATTTCTCAATGACGTTTCATACCGTGCTTTCGTGTATATTAAGCGAAAATAAATTGCGAACATGATACACTTGGTTTGGACACGACAGACGAATCATATAACATTGTACAATACATATATCAACTCCGTTGCTTTCTCCGGACAGAGTTAGGTAACTAGAGAAGGCGACTAAGTTGTTTCCAAGTCGAGGGATCAGAAATTATTACGCGCACCCTCCGCGTTAAAGGATAAAATTTGTTATCCTTGTTTTCCATTCACTTCATGCTGCGACTACAGAAATTTTACCAAATTATGCAAAATTATTGTCACATGCTTCTTGATGATGCAAATCATCCAAAATTTCGCACTTTTGCCACGGGAATTTGTAAATTCATTACGTAATTTGCAAAACAGAAATTATATAATCAACCACAATAACGATGTGAACAAATCGAACAAATATCGACAAGTCGTTGATGTAACTAAATTGATTCATACAGTAATCATTTTTTACGTCCAATGGTAAACCATAAAACAATCGCGAGTTGAAGATTTACGTGTGCGAGTTTGTTGTTGAAATTAATTGTATTTAAATTTTACATTACCGGTCGCTTTCCGGTAGCCTAAAGTTTATCTGTCTTTGTTTTCTAGATATCATTTAGTTTTTCCGGCGGCTTATTTCAAAAGAACAAGGAGTGCCTAATGAAATAATGGTATAAAGTGGAACAAAGCGCGTCCTACCTAAAGAAAGCTGTATAATGCTGTATAGACAGTGACAGAGGAGAAATTTCGTCGGCGGGAAATTCGAACAAGAGGAATAAGAAATTAATTTATTTATCCAAGCTTTATACAACCCTTTCATTATTCAGCTTTGCTTTCGTACATTTTACACCGCGCCTTCGTTATTTAACATTAACTAATATGTATCAAAACAAAAGCTTTTCTTGGACGGTCCCGTCTCAAAGGCGCAACTTGGTAACCATTATTCTCGTCAAAATAATTTGCCTGATTTTCTTAAATAAATATATTTTACGATATTTTTTCACATTTTCAAGCGTGAAATTCTAGTCGAATATTTAAATTGTGGATTTTATTGAAGCAGTGAAATGTCAAATAAAAAACTGGATGATACACGAGTATGTTGCAATTGCATCAGGTCAAGCTAAAAATTCGTAAAATTAAAATTTCGAAGTGTATTGATGCAAGTAAAGTAAACCGATGACGCAACGTCACGAAATCGAAAACGATGCACGTGGCTTGTTCAAAGTACTTAAAAGTCGAATCGTCATTGCGTTTGGCAGTCCGGTTTCCCGACATTTTTTTTATTTCACATTCTACAGGCTTTGCAGCTTTCGTTTCAGCCATACAGAGTGGCACTTGTGTGTGCTCGGATATAGTTTTTTTAAACTTTTAAACTTTGCGCCTTTTGAAATCGAATACTTTTCTTTTTTTAATAAAATGCAATATTAATTCGAAATTTTATGATGTCAAGTACTGCAAATAAATAAAGCTTACAAATTTCCTAAGCCTCTTAAGTTCAATTAATGTTTGTCAATGTAATTTTTCATCGTCACTTCATAGGTTTGTAATGTAAAATTAAAAGATCAATACAAAATGTTTAGAAAATAATAGATAACAGAGATAACAATAATTATTTATATAAAACAGATATGTTAAATAATGTAATAATATAAAGTGAGATTTACATCATTGTATAAATATAAATAATTATATTACAACTTGATTCAGCTGATTTTTCTTTCATTAAAAAGCAAGTAATGATGTTTATTCAATCGAAAGCAGTCATTATCCATAATTTGTTTGTTGTTTGTTTGTGTTATGACGTAATGTCCATTGAGTTTTAGTTTCCGTACGAAGATGCAATCTTTGTAACGCAAAATCGTTTTCACCTTTTACTCGTTTTTATATTTTCTCCTACAGTTACGATATATATCGTTTGAACAGGACTGTCCCTTTGCGCCCCGTTCATATTTATTGAACGTATCCAGTCGCATTAAATTGCTATAAATCACTGGCTGATGCGACAGCCACCTAGCTAGATATGAACATGTGTATGCATGTATGGTATATATGCGCACGTTAACATTCTAAATAGCGGTATGTCATTTCAAAGTGAGTGACTCAGCGATACTCGTCGTTAATATACATTTCCCGATGTGTCAGCATGAGATACTTCGAATGCGAAGAAGGAGGGAAAATAGAGAAAGGAAGGGCTATATTTCATGCCTTCTACATAAATGCACCTGTCGCTGAATTTTCTTAGACATCGAATAATTAATTAAGGTGTCATACATAAATAATTAACACGTAATCAACTAAGAGAAAGAGAAATTTTTCAATCGAAATAAATTCGACTTGAGAGAATAAATACAGGGTTGATACAAAATTGGAAATCAGGAAAATGTCAGAGAAATTAAAAACGATCAGGAAAATTATAAAGATTACAAAATTTTCTGAAAAATTAAAATTCTTAGCTTTAAAGAAGTGCTTGAACTTTAAATGTGCTTACAGCATCACATCTCTATACATTTTGGAATATATTATCAACTTAACAATTAAATGCAAGCAGTGTAAATAACATTAACAGTAATTTACACATTGCTGTTATAAATTACTCTTCTAACAAAATATTTGACGGTTTCCAAATCAGGACGAAAATATAAAAAATTCAAAATGTTATTAAAAGTATCAAGGAAGATCATAAAATTTTGTCTGGAAATCAAAGAAAAGTTATGGAATTGTAAGTTAGAAATTTGTGACAAGTCTGAAATAGAAATGAAGAAGAGAAATCACTATCTGATTTGTGAATTATTCTTTTTTATCCTAAAGACATATTCCATATTAAAAGGGTGTCAAATCGAGTTCTTTACAATCACGCGAATTGAATTCTTTTCCTCTTTTGACTCTCGCAAGAAACGGTAACGCGCGTTTAATTGTTATGCAAGCCGTAGCTTCAGGAGGTTATTATGAGCAACAAAACGATCCGCGTGATCTGAGACGAGAAAGATCCCGTGTTGTGATGAACAGTATGCTTTTCATGCAAACCGCGTGTCGCGCGGTCGCGATCCCGGTAAAATGAGAATTTTTCCATGGGACGAAACGAAGAGACGCGACAAAAGCGGGACGCACGCGGGCTTTGTGCAATTCTCTGCTCGCAGCGTAACAATACTTGGCAATTAAGAGTAATCCGTTTGAAAGCGTAAGGCGCTTTCACATGCACCATAGCGACAGGTTACTGGTAGTATTGTCCTTTCATGATACAACGCCTTTATTTTTTGATACTACTTGTTACGTAAGACAAAGATATTAGTCAAGGATATAGCAATCAGGTGAATTTGATTAAAGACAAGAATAGCGACGATGATGTTCGAATTGTTTGTGAATCTGATAAATAACGAAAGCTAAGAGGATTAAAAAAATTGAAAAGTCACGTTTTAATTTTCTGAAAGGAGATTTCTACGTTCATTATCCATCTATAAAGTTTCTAAAAGTTTTTCTATAAATATCACGCTTGTCATAATAACCGCCTGGACTATTAAGCTACTTGATTGCTGAACATTAAATGGCTGTTCAAATGAGTCAAAGCTTTTCAAAAGTTTGGGACGTTTCTAAAACAGCGACGTTTTAAAGTGCATCCCGTTCATTTCTTGGGAGATTCTTTGTCAGTAAATTTTGCCCATTAATTTATTACTCACTCTCGAAAAATCACAGAAAAGTTGGAGAAGTGGCACTACAAAACTGCGAGATAGATTGCTATTGTAAGTAATAATTACTTGTTTTTTAATTTTTCAAGAATTCATATATCCGCATCATGAATTCAACACAAGCATCAGAGAGAGATTTACTCAAAGTATTTATTTAAAAAATTCTAGTAAATTTAATACTTTAATTAACATTATTAAATTAACAAATTTAATTCCTAATCAGCGTATATATTAAAATGACATCCTTTCTTTATACCGGAAAAGAATTTTTAATTAATCGTGTCTCTTTCTTTTTTTGTTTGTGAATAAATTTCTCACGGATAAACGAGAGTGTTCATATGTCTGTACTGATTAAAACAAACAAAGAATAAAAGGTCTCCTGAATAAATCATCAAGATAATTTTGCAAAAAATATAATTCTATTGTTAAAAAATATGATTATTCAATTTACTTTCTTTCTTTTAAGTAACGGTTATCTTTAATAAACACTATTTTATTGATAATGAATTTAAAATGTGCTTATTACAAATGTTAGAGGAAAACTCATTATTATGTACTTAATTAATTTTCTTTAAAAAAAATATTATAAAATTCATTCGAAGAAGAATTTTACATAACAATCAAATTAAATTTATTAATTTAATAATGTTAATTAAAGTATTAAATTTACTAGAATTTTTTAAATAATTACTTTGAGTAAATCTCTCTCTGATGCTTGATGAACTCCTGATAAATTTGGGGATATACGAACTTTTGAAAAATTGAAAACCAGTAATTATTACTTACGTACAATATACCATACATTAAAATCAAATTATTAAATTTTAATATAATTCTTTTTATAATATTATATCAATAAAAAATGATAGTTAATTCTCAAATTTCACATCACGCAACCATAACTTCGACATTATGCGAATTTGTTTCTTGTTTGTTGCTTTTAGTCTTTGAACGTTAATTTTGTTATGAAAATGAAAAGCAAAAATATGTCAAAATATATGTTTTCTATGGGTATTTTTACTAGAGCGAATTCCCATCAGTGTGGAATTTGAGGGTTAAATTAATTGGTTTTATATTAAAAATAAATATATATTTATATATAATATTTAATAAATATTTTATTAAAACTATTCAAATGAATATTTATTGAAATTTAATATTTTTAATGTATTTTTCTGTGTGAATCCATGCTCTTGATTATAAAATAAAGCTTTCGAATGCGTGACGCTACTTATCATATTTTCCTTGTCTCTTATTATAAATGCACCACGATAAATGCAGCGTCATGATAATAAATCGGTACACCCTGTAAAGCAAAAAAATTATAGGGGAGAGGAGAGAAGAAGAATCGAGACCTCCTGACGATTTCAAAAATGGAAGTACTTTCTTGCCTTTTTTTCTTCTTCTCCTCTTTCTTTAATGGATCGTCTCAGAGGTCGATAAAAGAGGTAGGAGGAGCTATCTCCTTTTTTCGCGAATGAATCTAAAGAAGATTGAATGTAACGCAGTCGGTTGGTATATCTTCGGTCGTCGTTTAACAACATGTGATACATGACGATGGTATTTGACTTAATGGCGAAATGTTCTTTAATGATAGGCATTACGTAGTATATATTTCAAGCATGTCTCTGCAGGCATTAATTAGTGAGAATTAATGGTAAAAAACGTTGAACGTGAAATTGATGATTTCAGAAATTTGCGCTCCGGAAAATATTCTCTCTCGTAAAAAAAAACGCCACGTTGCAATGAGAATCGTATATCACATATGATGGAAATAAATTGTAAGTTCACTGTGTAATTGACGAATATAATGCTATCGTTTTGCCAATCGTATTTCAACAGATACTGCGAAATTGAAATTACATTTTCATATAGAAATATGGAGAAATAATGAAGAGATAATATAATAATTATGAAGCATTATTGATCGCGTAGGTAGGTAGAACGAAGATTTTTCGCATTGAGAGTGAATTTTAATCTCGCGACAACGATGGGAGATGAAAGATGTCGATGTCGGGACGAATATTCTGAAACTGATCCGCCTCAGGATCGACCATCGTGAGATAACAGAACAATGATGTCGCGAGGGCGGACGGCAAACATTTTTCACGTCCTCGCTTGCAACTTGGAGGGTTTCGTAAGTCGTATGACGTAATACAGCGGTTATCCGCATGGATAATAATCGGTCCCGGGACGAGCGTATTGCGGTGTTCCGTTGCGCGTCTATAAATATCGCCATATTGTCATTCGCGACGTGACACGCGTGAAAATTTATCGCCCCCTACGGCGACGCGAATGCGCGAAGTATTAAAAGTACGATAAAGCTTCACTCACACCAGGTAAGTTCCTCGAGTTGCCGGCAAAAACTCCTCCCGGTCGAAGGAAGTCAAGACGTCATCGCCTACCTCGAAACTAACGCTGAAGTATTCGTTGCTGGATACCTGTAATCAGAATAAAGCACGTCTTTAAGTACAATTAATTTTATCTCTTCACAGCTGAAGCTGATCTTAATATTCTGGTAATTAGAATCTTGGTTTAAGATAATTCTTGGTCTGGCAAAGATTTCACTCATTGTTGATGTAAATGAGATTTAACAGAATTTTGAACGAGAAAGTGATATAAATAAATGTTAAGCTCGTAGACAGTTTTCATTTCACAGAGAGCTCTTGTACGACAACTTTTATTCGAGCTATTTGTATGTCATATTATATCTAAAAGAAGATTATTTTCAGATTTGTAAAAAAATATACGTAATGAAATCTAATAAGCCAATAGAGTTACTGCAATAAATACTAAATCTGAATAAATATTTGTTTGAATAATATTAGCTGAATATTTACTAAACATATATATTTATATTTGAATATATACACGAACAATTTATTTAATTTAAATATCATTTTTTATTTTGTAAATATGTATTTACCGTAAGTAAAATGTTAAGTTAGTATACTATTCAAATAAATATTCGTTAAAATTTAGTACATTTTTCTCAGAGTATATTGGATTGGAGGAAAAATTATGTAGTTTTTGTTAATTCAAAACTACATACAATATCTTCGTAAAAAATGAACAAATTTATATTTAGAAAAAAGGTTTTAAAGTTTGAAATCTCTACTTTTAAAAGGTTTTTATAATTTTTTTAATTCATGTGAATTTCATAATTTTTACATATAGAAAACTACAAATTAAAAAATGGAAATTTTTTCTTGTCATTTTGTGGATCTGTCATGTATCAAAAAAGAATTTGCGAAAATTTTTGACTATCTAACGTGAAAGCTTAAAGTTTTTCCTAAAAACATTTTTTTTTTAAATGTTCCTACAATTTTTTGTTCCTGAGTTATTCATGAGTTAAATAAAGGAGTATTTTGATTTTAATTACTCATAACTCCGTTAAAAATTATATCGTACCGCAATTAAAAAATCAAATTCTTAAAGCTGAAACGTTACTCTATCGAATAGTACAATGGTTAATTTTTTAAATATACAATATACAATTTTGAATTAATAAAATACTGCAGAATGTTCCTTCTACTTAATATATATTTATATATATCACGATATATTATAGAGAATTCGATTGGATGCATTAATGCGCATTAGTGCGTATTAAAGTTGTTGTAGACTATACTTTAATCTGTGTAAAAGTAAAATGCAAATATTTCGAATTATAAAATACAGAATTTATCTAACAGCACAATAAAATGTATTGAGGATTTCATGGTTTAATCCATTTCTATAAATTTATATCAAACACATATTTTTACGTCAATTTGTGTACGACGTATAACGGCTTTAATGTGCATTCACATGAATTCGCTATTAGATTTTTTATTTAATTGTTAAAATTAATGTCTTGTACATATCGCGCAAGAATAAAACATCGGCAAATCTAAGAGATAAAATATTTTCGCATAAAAGCGACAACTTTAAATAATAAATTTCTGATACTGATAAATCCACACGAATTGTGCCAAACTCAACGATTAACTCCATTGATGGCATTTCTCTTTCAGGATTACACTCTAAAGAAAATTCCAGCCGATTTTGCCGCACAAAGAGCTGACTTTTAGTTTTACCATTAATCGCTTTAGGATCGGATATACAGGATCGGATAATCAGTAAGCTGCGACGTACTGTGATTTAAATAAGTGAAACTGAACGCTGAATGAATAAATCTTGTTTAAATGCACAATTCGTGATAAGGCATTAAATTTGAAAGGAAAAACTAAATGCCGCAGTATCTCTCGAATACAATAACTGTTACAATCGACCACGAATCTCGAGATTCGCGTATTTTAGCGCGCGAGAAACAAAGCTTCAAACAAATTAGGCGTTTATCTAGCAATCTGACAACGTATAATACAAAGGGTCTATGAATACAAAACGCCCATACAAATATTTCTATGGTTGCGCGCGTTTCAGCGATCCTTAACGCAGATATAGCTCGAAGTCGAGCGTCGTTTATATTTTGTCTACAATCTTTACTACGCATCTCGAAAACTTAGAAAATTGGCCTGGCCAGTTTCTCCTTCGCGTTACTGCGATTACTCCGTAGTTCGGGTGCTCGGATTCAATATTGCCGCCACGTTCGCCTATTCGACTCAATTTTTTCCCCTCATAAATAATGCAGGGACGCAACGCTCTCATAAATTCGAGTCACCTGGATAGGCTGGTGAGTCAACCAGCGGAATTAAATATTAAAGCGCGCGGCACCGGAGTAATCGTCATCGCGGCAAAGATTGTTGCTTGTCATCGCTGCAAATTAGCTTATCTCGCTGTTCAGCATATAAATGACATACTCAATAAGTATTATATTTCAGGAAAATACTCACCGAGTGAGTTGACGAAAAGAAAATCCTTAATCACGATTGGCAAATCAAAATACTGTTGAATCAAGATCGCGAGAATTACAGAAACTTGGCTGCCCTTCGACCTTCAAAATAAAAGTTTTCTAATATAATAACTTTTTGAAATAAATTCGAAACAACAGCTGTTCCATGTGGGAGAGATATTTTTCGTTTCTTGAATGCGTCGGTTGCATGTAAGATCACGTACATAAATCATACCCGGACTGTAAAAGGTAGTTGTCGGTTCTTGTACTTTAAATCCCGAGGGTTTCAAAGTCTGTAACTGCAATTGTCGCAATATGTTTCACGCTCGAAATGCGAAGTGCATAACAAGGTGCAATAGCTATACTAAATTGTTTCTTTGGCTATGTAATTTTGAGTACTTAATCGAGAGAGAGAAAAAGACTATACACACCACGTTCTTCTGCGTGGATTTTGTATTATCGATCCTTTTATTACAAAAATTTAGAAAGTATTGCGCGGCGTTGCATCACAATAAAATTAATCAACAGTTGGCAACATTTCAGTTCACTTTAAACGATTTATAATTCCAAATTCGAAATAGATTTCTCTTTATAATTTAGCGTGTCGTGTAACATAGAAAACATTTGAAGTGAAATTTACACGTTTATAAAATACATATATATTAAGATATACATTTAAAATATATCACATAAAAAATTATAAATAAAATTTTATTTTGAATTTGATCTCGAATTATAGATCGATATAAAGTGGTCTTAATCAAGATTTAAATACACCATGATAATTGCCAAAGTTATCAGATAATCATAATATGTAACTGCAATGTCCTCTCAGAAAGAATTTTTGATAAGAAGATAAAAATATTCTTGATGTACTTAATCTCATTATGCGGTATAAAAATAAGACAATATTAAAATTAAATCAATAATTCACGTATTTACCTTCCTTGAAGTAAATAAAATTGACTTAGTTTCTTAAAACAAGAGTAGCACATAAGATATTATTTAAGTCGATATATTGTTACGTTTAGAATAAATCTTTATGTTGTATACACGATGCTGGTATCATAATATTTGGCACAAAACCAATGTCAAAAATCATTTTGCTGTAAGAATTGTTTATTTAAGATTAAATTATTCCTCCATTAACAAAAAATAATGATTGTCCCTATATTAATCCTATTTTATAATAGATCGTAAAATAATATCATTAAATCATCTTTTCTATAAGTAAATGTTTAGCAAATATAATTGAGGTTGATGTACAGTAACGATAAATTTTTCTGCTACATTATTTCGTTTTATATTATTATTAAATATATAATATGTGCAAAAAAAAATAGTATTCCACATTTTATAAATAAAATTTTCATTTATGAATCTTTCTTATAAACTTTTTCTTTTCCCTTCTTCTTATTATTATAATAGTTAAATTTTAGTTAATTTTACATTACTTCATTAAGAATGAAAGATTTTAAAAGAAATATTTCATATATTTTAGAAACTTTTCTTAAAATAAAGATTAATTCTAAGCTCATAAAAAAACTGGTAGACTTTTATTCCGAATTTTATAGCAAATCATATATTTCTTCATTCCCGTTATAAGTTTTATCTTTATATAATACTCAACAAAGCATGTGTTTCGTAAACGCGAAATTGAGAGTAGAGATAATCTCGTCTGTCGTAATTTTGTCAACATACTTCAGCGTATTGTCGCGGCGTTATTAAAATTGATTAGTTTTAGAATCCTGCAGGGATCTCTTTGCTCTGGAGGCACTGTTGATTCACACAGAAAAAAATGTTACGATTGCCGTTACAACCGGAAATAAATTCTCATTCATCAATACATTTAGTTCTGATAATCGTAAAATGAACATATCTTTACAGACAAAACCGATATTAAGATATGCCAATTTTATGGTAATCACAATCATACTATAGTTTCTATAACCAAAAAATGTATTGATGGATTTTTGGTCGTGGCAACCGTAGTCGTTTTTTCCTGCACGTTTGCATAATATCGATTCAACTTTCGATAGGGGATAACCGGAGGAGCGGGACTCCATTACTGTCCCTCGAGGACGTATTTAATTTACTGACCTTCTCGAAGTAAGAATAAATACTTTGGAAGTTCGTGACAATGATACTAACGACCTTTATAACGACCTTTTACGATTCTCTTATTACATCTTTAATTTTTTATGTCAAATTTAAAGGTGCAAAAAAGTCTATAGTTTTTTCGAAAATATATAGTGCAAATAATTGAATATAATAAAAAAATAGAAATATTTAATGTGATTGACTCGATAATAAAAAATTAAAGCTGTAATAAGAGAGTCGTAAAATGTCGTTATGAAGACAATCGCCATAAAAAATGATAACCTTATAATTACAATTTTGCCCTTATAGAAAGTAAACTTTTTTTTCGAATAATCGCTCTTTAATATATTTTCTATATTATTATTAAATCGCGCGAAATTTTCTTTTTTTTTTCTATTTCTTACGCGAGATGACAACTGTTTCTTATATATCTTTTTATTATGTCAGGAAATATCTTTTAATATTTTCTACAGCATTAAATTATTTCACTTGTGC